GGGGGGGGGGGGGCACCATCTAATCAGCTGGGAGCCCATACAGAACAAAAAGGCATTAGAAAAACCAATTCTCTCTCTCTCTCCTGGAGCTGGGACACCCTTCTTCTCCTGCCCTTATGTTGGAGAGAGCAGGACTGAAGCCATGTTGGGACCTAAGACTGCATGGGCTTTAGGGGAAAAAAAAAAAAGGATGGTTCTTCTTAGCATGCATTTCTCTGAGTTCCTTCTTTTCCCATGGTTACTTCATATTTTGAACCTTGGATACAGGGCAAGAAAACATTATTTACATAAAAGTAAAGTTGTTTTCCAGTCAGCCTGGAGTTGCAAACTTGCTATCAGTCACACACTATCCAGACCCTGAGAAACCAAGGAAGACATCCCTAAATCCCTAAAGCTATGCTGATTCCAGCCCACTAGTAGGGCCCTAACATAACAGCAAGGATGGCAACAGAAGCCAGATGGATCCTTGGTGAGACCTTGTACCTGGCTCCTTACACGGAGCCCCCACAGCTCATGTCCCCCCCACCTCCTGCTTTTGACTTCCCAAGTTCCATTTCCTCAATCTCCTCTTTAAAAAATCCTCAGTAAATTTGAGTCAGAGAGATGGCTTTAGTCTGGCCAAGCTGCTACTTGTTTACCAGAGAGATGGGATAACCTAATATCTCTCCTCTGGTCACTGGTATTCCTGAATTAAAGTTGAATTAAAGCACTGGTTTTTGTTAGGGGCAGACAGCTGGACTAGGGCCTGGTAACACTTAGACATCAGAACTCCAGGATGTCTGGCCTTTGGACTCCAAGACTTACACCAGCAGCCCCCGGGGCTCTCTAGCATTTGGCCTCAGACAGAGTTACACCATTGGCTTCCCTCCTTCTGATGCTTTCAGACTTGAATTGAGCCACACTACTGGCCTCCCAGTGTCTCCAGCTTGCAGTCTGCCTGGCCTTCCAAGATGTTGTCTCCTAATTACTGAAGACTCTAGTACCTGGCACACAGGCTTTCTCTTCCACCCCAAATCCAGCCCCAATCTAGGAGATTTCAACATTCCTGACTCTTCTCTGCTTTGGTTACAGAGTCAAATCTGGTAAACACCACCAACTATTCTACACGAGAAATATTGGACACCAATAACCAGTCCTACGATGGCAATCTCCTATCCTAATCCTGTAAACCCATGCTCTCTCAATATCTTCTCTTTGGCTTCACAGAGATCGCTGACCACTCCATTTCTGCCCACTGGCTGCTCCTGACCTCACTTCCTTCCCTACGCAGCCTGGATCCATGGTAGATTGCCCCAACTTCTCTCTTTCTCTCCCCAGTGCTCTCTTTTCCCTTTGCACTATCCCATTTTGCCACCAATATTCCAGCCCTGGGTTAACAGTAAAACCTAACTTCCTTGATACTTTATCCAAATGGCTAAGAAAAAAATTCTGCAGAAGAAAATTACATGACCATGCATTCTGTTGTCCCTTCAGATCTTATTCTCAAAAAATCGCTTTACCTCCTACTTAATTATGAAAAGTTAGGCAATCAAATATAAGCTCCTTCCAGACCCCACCTCCTTACCCACAAACTTTTCCATAATTATACCATCTTTACCCCTTCTAGGTTTTACAGATGAACTGTCCTTTTGATATTTGATGCCAATCTCTCTACCTATGTCCTAAGTCCTTTCTATCTTGCCTTATGCACTCTTGTCCCATCTGCCACTTCTCCCTCCTAGATCTTTTCTCAGCTATAAAAATGTTCAAGTCTTGTCCATCCTCTTCCCCGTATGATCCTCAAGTTACCTACTGTCACTTTGTCTCCTTCTTTTTTTTAAAGAGGAGTCTCCATTCAAGGAATTGATTTCCTCTTCTTCGACCCACTCCGTAAAGTTTCTGTCCCACCACTCTACTGAAAACGCTCTGACTAAAGTCACTAATGACCTCTTAATTGCTAAGCCCAACTGCTATTTTTTCTGAACAGACTTTACTGCTGCATTTGACAGCCGGGCTCCCTCCTTCACAGCAATGTTTACTACTCATCCTAACATTACCAACACTGATTGAGCACTCACTCTGTGCTGGCGCTGAACTAAGAAATTTGCATACATGACCTCATTTAATTCTTACCACCCCCAGGAGGTAGGAGCTGTTATTACCTATGGTTTTCAAATCATTAAACTGGAGTGGAGATGGGAAAGTAACTTGACCAAGGTCATGCAGTTAATATTAGGTAAAGACATTATTCTAACCCAGATCTTTCTGTGTTCAAACCTCACTCACTCACTGGATGTTTAACAGATACCACAACCTCCAGACTCTCCTGGCCTTGGGATCTATTCCCTTTGGTTCTCTTAGGATTCTGTCCCTTTCCTGGAACTACACTCTTAAATGTTGATGTTCACTAGAGTTCTATTCTCACTCCACTGTTCTCTCACTCCCTGAGGGATTTCAATCACTTTTCATCTTTTCAGCTCTCACCTACATGCTGATATCCCCCAATTTGTGTCTCCAGCCTTCAAGCTTCAGACTGTTTTATCCAATAGGCTACTGGACTTCTCCATTCAGATGTCTTTCTCACAATTTCAAGTCAAAACTGCACACTGCTTCCCTTCAAAACTTTCTCCTCCTTTTCATAGTCGACTTTGTCACAATTAAACATTACCCAAGCTAGAAAGCTGGAAGTACTCTTAAGCTCTTCTTCTCCCTCATTCTTTAACCACAAATAATCACCAAATATTCCTGACTTTGCACTCTCTCCTCCCCCCAAATAGTTTTCATTTCCTCTCCACTTCTTCCAGCATAACCTTTGCTCTGGCAAGGACAAATACATAAGGATTCTGTCTAGCGGAGACTCCTATAAGACCCTCCTATCTCTCTCCCCATTCCTGTCCTCAAATGCATCCCTCACACAGCAGATAAGTGATCTCAATCAAACAAAAATACAACAATAGCACTCTCTTGAATAAAACATTTGGTGACTCCCAATCCCTTACAGAACATGTGTGAGCTCTACCATCTACTACCTTTTCACAATCTGAAACCTACCTATTTGATGATGACATCCAATATTTATAGAAGGATGACTATGTTCCAATCACATTCCTTGCCAATTTTTGCCTTGAAATCTTCTATGCAATAAAACCAAATTACTATAGCTCTCCCCACACACCATGCTGTTTTTTCCCATACGCGATGCTATTCCCATAATCTAGAGAGTCCTCTCCACTCCCAGCTACCCTTCCCAGGTGGATTATCTCTTATCCTTTCCAAATACTTGGTGGGTTTGATCACAGTATAGATTGTAAAGTCCCAACCATGGAAACTGATCAGTAGGTCTTTAGTAGGGCCCTATACTGTACTTTTAAATTGTTGCCCAAATGGTTCTCACAGATAAAAAGATTTCTGAATCATGGTTTTAAAATAATCCAAGTCTTATACTTCACTAGGAAGCCCAACTTATCCCCACAGCCCATCTCTGTGATCCCATAAATGTCTATGTACATGTCTATCACCATACTTTCCACATTATATATGTCTTACGTCTAACTCCTATGGAATATACTATAAAGCATATGTACTTCACAGGGCTTGGTTTTCCAAAGCCCTGCAGTTTCAAATATTGACCCTGCAAGGACAGGAAATTTTCCTCAGGCTAAAATCTCTGTTGCAAGATAAGAATTGTGGCACAGCAGGTTGCTGGCTCAAAGACAGGCTAGTTACTGATTGTTATGTAAAGATACTGAGAAATTGCTATAGGAAGGAATGTTTGCTAAGATCAAACTGTTGTTGATAGGACCACTTAATTGCCTTACTGGAATGTCATCTGGCTTGTTTCACTGACAGTTACCAGCCTATACTGTTAAACTATAACCCCACCTTTGTTCTCTTCCTGTAACTTCCTGGTCTGAAAATAAATGCAGGAAGAGAACCCTGGTTCAGCATTAATTTCCCAAGGAAGAGTTGCCTCTCACTGGAGGCTGCCTGGGAAGTTAACCTCTTTGGGGCTTCTAACTGCTCGGAAGAGATGGGCTTTGAGTAATCCTTTGTATCATCCTTTGCATCTCTGTCACCCAGGGGAAGTGGGGTGACAAATCCGTGGGGGCAAAGCAACACAAAGCAACAAACTCCCTTAATAGACTGTGAGTATCTTTAAGATAGTAATTGCTCTTCATTGTACCCTCAGTGATTAGTACAATCCTCCAAATTAGTACAGTTCCCACTCCATAAAGTTTAATGGAAACCAAAAATGATAGATGGATGGATGGACAGCAGCAAGGAAGGTAGTTTATAATGCCCTCCTTTGGTGTTGGCTATAAAATTGCCAGAGTGTGTTATTACCTGTGGAGCAGAGCTCGATAAGCAGTAAAATACGGGATCCCGATGGCAGCTCCTTGTTTAAAGTCCAGTTTTTCAGGCAACATATAAACAGTGTGATCTGCTGCAAGAGCATACTCTGCATAGCCCCCAGAGATCGTATTGTTAGTGAAAACTCTGTCACCTTTCTAGGGGAAGAGACACATGAATAAAGCATGAGGGCTTTAAAATTATGTTAAAATGGTCACAATCCTTTATAACGCAGCCTTCATAACAAGAAATAAATGGGTATTTATACATCATTTTCTATATTGTAGGGTCTCAAAAAAGTAACTTTAAAATACTGAGTATTTTTAAATGTTTTATTAATGGGAACCAATGACAAAAAAAATTAAGGGAAATAGGAAAAGTAAAAGAAGAGGAAGGAGAAGCCCTACAATGGGCTCCCCTTTACTGAGAGCTGACTGTGCCAGGCACGGCATTAAGTGAGAATATTATCCAATTTGATCTTCACAACAGCCTGTGAACTGGGCACTTTTACCATCTTCTCTTTAGATTAATCCCACCATACAGATGAGAAAACTGAGGTACAAAGAAGTTGCATAATTTCCTCTGATCAAGCAGTTAGCAAATGGCAATCAATACAAACTGTTATTTTTTGTGCAAAGTATTAGGGAGAAGAAACAGAGTGTAGCTTCTTCCACACACCAAACTCCTGTTCTAATCTTTTCCATGCATTTTCTCATCCCTGCATTTTCATTGTCTTTCATGCATATACCCCAAACACAGGAAACCAGGCCAAGATCCTAACAGCAGGATGAGCCAAGACAGGCTTCTTCACTTGTCTCAGCACCAGAAACACAGTAAACTCTCAATAAACATCCGCTGGGCCCTCGCAGTTGAAAAGCAGATGCATGACTGAAGATACAGTAATGCCCTAGACACGTATTACAAGTCCAGTGTTATTTGCACACCAGGGTAAATTAGACTGCCCACTACCACCACCTGCACTAATTCTTTCTTGTAAAAAAAAAAAAAAAAAGATAAATATTCCTTGGAACAGGCAAAATATTAAGGCAATGACTGCTCAGTCTACTTTAATTGGTCCTATAATAAAGAAGTATGAAAAGGCAACAGCACTATCTGGTGGGATAAAAATGAAAAAGATTCAGAAGGCATCCAAGAGTCAAAGACAAGCATCCCCACTTAACAGTTTCACCTGCTTATGGTCAAGTACAACTATATTAAGACTAATCCTGTTTTTACAGTTTAAAAAACATGGTGAATTGATTTTAAAATAATTCAAACATTTACTAAGAATCCACAATATGAAAAGCATTACTTTGAATTTGTTAAGGGATATTAAAAGCTGTCCCTAATCTCAAGCATCCTAAACTAGGAGGAGAGATAGAAATAATTGTGAAGAAAGCAAACATGATGTGCCATCAAAGATAGGCATGTGAAAAACAAAGGAATTACTAAATTGAGAAAATTAAGATTAGCTTTATTGAGAAGCTAATATTTGAGGTAGATCTTGAAGGACAGGACAAGATTTTGTAAACTATAAGAGGGATTACTCATTATGTGTGAAGGAAACAAAGTCAGCCAAGAAATAGAGGGAGGAATAAATGCTGAGAAATTACCATTTATTCCCAATGCATAACCAGTCTAGTGTATGGTATGTAATAGTTTCAGAGATAAAATGGAAAGAAATTAAAGCTGGAGGTGAAATCCCTTGAATCCATGTTTGTAACTTTCAATTTAATTCTGTCAAGCAGAGGAACCAATATGTACAAAGAAAGAGAAATGAAAGAATATAAGATGTACAGAGAAGGACAAACAGTTCATTACTAAATAATAAACTATAATATGAGAAGTAGTGAGAGATAGGAATAGAAAGATAGGTAAGAGAGAGTCTTATTTCATAACAACAAGGAATTTCAACAGTACCCTGAAATCTACAAGGAATTAACGCAAGAATTAAAGTAGAGGTGTAAAGCAATCAGAATTACATTCTAGAAAATGGTTCTTTCTACAGTAAGGATAGATTCCAGGGAAAAGGAGAGAGAGTAATAATTTAAGTGTCTATTATAGAAATCTAGGACAGGAGCGTAGTTAAGTAGGTAAGATAACCTGAACTAAACTACAGGCAGTGGGAATAGAAAGAGGAGACAGAAACCAGTTCTAGTAAGGGAGATCTGCCAGGGGAGAGTGAGAAGGTGAGCCCAGAAGTCACCAAGACAGTCACACAGGAGAAGAGCAGATCTACAGTGAGGAAAAGTAAGTTTGGTTTTAGACATGTTGAGTAAGAACGTGGAGGTTGACCATGTGGGTCCAGTGCTCTCCAAAAGAACTTTCTGTAAGGATAAAAATGTTCTACATCTGCACTGTCCAGTGGGGTAGTTGTTTGATGTACAGGATAATTAAGCACTTGAAATGTTGCTAGTGTGACTCAGGAAATGTACTTTCTATTTAAGTTTAAGTAAATTTGAACTAAAATTGCCACATGTGGCTAGTGACTCCTGTTTTGGACCACACAGGTCCATAGCTTAGTAGAAAATTCTAAGCTAGAAATATCACATGGAATAATGGAAACTAAGAGTGCATGAGATCATCATGAAAAAGGTACAGAATACTAAAGGCAGAGGTCTAAGTCGGGACTGAAACCCCTGGGCAGCACCAAAAATTGAGGAGCATCCAGAGAAAAAGAGGCCTGAAAAAGGATGCCCTGAGCAGAATGGGAGAGAACAGGAGAAAACGATGTCACAGAAGCTAAAGAAAAAGTTTTTTTAAAGAAAAAGTTAAGTGGCTGAGAGTGTCAAATGTCACAGAGAAGTCAAGAAAGATAATGACATAAAAGGGCCCATTAACTCCAGCAATATAGAGGCCATTAGCGACATTAGCAAGAATCGTTTCAGTGGAGCGATGGGGGCAGAAGCCAGATTGCTACAGGCTGAGGAGTGGAAAGCTGCATGAATTTGCCCATCTTCCTGCACAGGGGCACGTTAATCTTTTCTGTCTCAGCCCAGTCTTGGTAAATGTGCTGCCAAAGTTGAGCAGGTCAAGGAATTATTAGGGAAGATGCTAGAACATGAGTATACTATAAATATACTATCTATGTTTTATATGTCTTTTGGCATATAGATAACAAAAGCCATGATCATAACACTTTCATTGACCTTGGTCTAAGTCAGAGTTCCGAAACTGTATAGTGACCCTGCATTTTTTCATGTTTTACTTATTCTTCAAAAGAATTAACTTTCCCTTTATTTTGTGGAGCTAAATTTATAAAAGAAATTTAAAATTACATTTGGCTCGTGTGTTATAAAGAATTAGGAAATAGTATATCTTCATTGTTTGTTTTCTTTCCTTACATATTTCTATTAAATCAAAAGGATCACAGTTCATTCTGTGGGGATGTGAAGAGGCAGAAATTACCCAGCATTTATTCCCAATAGTGCAAACAAATAAAACCTCTGGATTAAAAAGTAACTTCTTTTTTGACTAGAGGAGTCCCCCAGGTGGCAGAAATTGTGTACTGGGCCTTTTAAATCATATTTGACACATTTTAAAGCTATGTTGAAATATTTTAAGAAAAAATATTAAGGTAAAATAGCAGTAATTAAAAACGTAATACCTTGAAAGCAGATACATTATCTCCAACAGCTTCTACTACCCCAGCCACATCTGAGCCAGGAGTATAGGGTAAGAGTGGTTTCCTACTGTAAGTACCAGAGCGAATATATGTCTCCACTGGGTTTACTCCACATGCGTGGACTTTGATTAGAACCTGCAACAACAATATATTTTAGTTCACACACAGCATTTGGGCATTCATTCAGCATTTTGCTAGGATTGTGTGATTAAGAGAGCTATAAAAATGGAAAAACAAAACAAAATGAACAAGCTTCACATTGCCTTCAACAAGCTCACATTCTAGCTTTGCAAACCAACATGCAAATAAAAAGACAGAATGCCTTATGTGCTGTATTAAAAACATTTTGGGAAAATAGTGAAAGAGGAGATATGTGGCAGGGACCTCTATGTGTTTGTTCAAACTATTCCTCCTCTTCCTGGGTACATAGGAATAACATTATTTCCTGGCCTCCTTCATGGTATGAGTAGTCACATGACAGTTCTAGCCAATAGAATGTAAGCAAAAGTGATAAAAGCCGCTTGCAGGCCTGGCCTATAAAAACCTTCGCAGGCAATCCATACTGCGCTTTTACCCTTTCACAGAGGCCTTGTCAGACAAGTGATGAAGGTGGCCAAGCCACATAATAAAGAAGCCTGGGTCCCTAAGTCACTGCTGGAGGACAGCTACCCACCAACATGTCAGAATTTTGGAACTCAGTGAATGAGAAATACATCTCTATTGTTGAAGCATTGAGACTTTGAGATTATATTTATTACCGGCACTAATTTTATCTTAATTAATACAATATGATTATCCCTGCTATAAGAGTAAGGGAAAGCCTTATAGAAGTAGTATTTGAGCTAGTCCTTAAAGGATGAGTAGAAATTCTTTAGGAATGCAAGAAAAAACATATTTCCCGTTAAAGGAATAGTATGTGCAAAGACAGAAGGAATGAAAGGGCCTCTTGGCGAAACTGAATAAAGTTTGATGTTGTTTCAGTACAGTCAGTTGAGACAGATTGATAAGAAATAATCTGTAAAGATAGGTTATAGCCAAATTGTAAAAACTCTTACAAAGCATCCCAGGGAAATTAAACTTGGGAGTTATGGAAGATGCAGTAATAAAAATACATAATTTTGAATCAAAGGTATATTGTTAAAGTCATTGGGAATAATTAAACTCTATATTTAAATTCTCTTTGGTCATACATGAAAAAGCATGAATGCAAAAGAAAACTGTTTTCCCACCATGCGCAAAATAAAAATCATGAAAGTTTGTAATAAAATAATTTATTTGAAACTACTTATGATTCCATTCAGAAAAATCCCAATTATTGCACTACATAGATAATTCTCAACTTCAAAATTTTTCTTATAATCAGAGATTATTCCTTTTCATATGTCTACTTCGCTAATTATTAGATTTGTTAACTTTCTCCGACTTCATACATATAAACGTACAAACTTCGTCCTAATTCAATGTCTTTATAAATAATTGTGTCTGCTTCTTTTGAACACTAACTTGATGTGCTTGAAATTCAATGTAATTATTGCCTGAGTAAAGTAATTATTTCCACCTGATGGTTTTTTGGAATTGGTACTGCAACATCCGACTGGAGTTTCAGCACTTCTGGTCCACCAAACTCAAAAACTCTAACAGCTCTCATCAACTTCTGTCCAGTTGCCATGGTGATCTAGATATTAAGAAAAAAAATTAATGTATTGTCATATTGCATCTAGGCTATCACTATGTTTTTCGCCCCTGGAGGGAGCAGATCAAATAATTTTCAAACAATAACTTAAATCATGAGCTTACCAATGATCTCATTTCATGTTTAAGGACCTTTCATCTTACAAATCCTTCAGCTACAAAGCAAAACACTTTACAGTACTTCCTGTAGGGATTCAGTGACCTCAACAAGGGAATCAAGCATGCAAACAAAAACATCTGGATAGACATAGTATGATACCATATCTTTGGTTTTCTTTTGTGTAAGCTTGGATTGAAACCTCCTGGAAATTTTAGGAGCTAATATAAGTTTTATTAACAGATAAACAGACTTCCTTTTGTTAGATGATGAACTACTTCAAACATATAAAGAATATAAAAACGTATTTACCCGACATCCAGCTTTAACAATTCTTAACATTTTAAAAATGTAAAACATCATAGATATAATTGCAGCCTCCTCTACCCATCCACAAACCCATCTGTGGCTCACCCTTTCAAGAGGGGACTATAATATAAAAATAATGCTCAACATTCCCAAGTATGTTATACCATCACTACATATATATATGCATTAAAAAGAATATGTGCTGTTGTTTTGTGTGTTTTCAAATTTTATTTAGGTTGGATCATACTGTACTTAATTCTGCAATTTGCTTTTTTCTTTCAGCATTAAGTTTTTGAAATTTATCAATGTTGGAACAGTTGGCTTTACATAGTTCATTCATCTCAACAAGAGGTAAAAAATATTAAAAACTAAAACACTGCTCTGTATGCAATCTTTTATAAATTACTTGAGCTCACCTAACCTGTCTGTCCTACCACTGATAATATTAAAATGAAAAGAAAACTCAGAGTTGAAATAAACTCTAGGAAAAGGCAAAGAACATTTGAATATAAAATTATAACTTTGGAAAATCTGTACCTGCAAAGATGTAACGAAAGGGTTTTGACTATATCTCCATAATTTTATGTGTGGGTTAACAAAATTTCTCAAAATTAATCAAACCAAATATTATAAGATTCTGACACCACCTAGAACATCTTCCTCAACCACAAGCATTTAAACATCAGAAAGAGGTGCAGAAATTAGGACCTAAAATGGAAGAACTCAGACTTTTACTGTATTACAGTTCAGCACAGGACTACTCAGAACAGAGCCCATGCTGGCTATAAAATGTCATTCAATGTACAGGGAGGAAAATCAAAAGTATTTTCATGATGTTATTGATAGAAAGTTCTTGATATAATTAATCAAAAGTTTGAGTCATTTTAAAACCCTTAAGATTAAAATGACTTAAAACAGTGCCCAGCACAAGGGAGAAAGTGAAATTTCCCAAGGTTGTTTAGCAATGATATATCCTGAAGAGCAGTCCTCATATAAAAAGCAACAAAGCAGGTAGAGGGCATAAACCTAAGGGCACTGTAGAACAGGTAGGCATCTCTGAAGATCTGTCAAAGAGCTAGGACAGGAAAAGGTAGCCCAGTCCTCCCCAGCAATCTCACTACTGTGCTTCCATTCATGTCTACACTCAAGCTGGGAATTTCTTAGACAAGAAAGTGAATGTATAATGAAAATAAAACATGTATAATGAAAAAGAAAAGGTCGCCCAGATGAGTTTTCCATGGGGAAAATAAGAACGCAGAGCTTCTTTTTTCCTTTTCCTTTTTGCTTTCAACATGGAATTATGGGAAGAGTGTGGGCTTTGGAATCCAACAGTTCTCGATTGGAATCCCCGTTCTATCATGTCCTAGCCACATGGCCTCGGGCAAGGCAGTCAACCTTTTCAGCCTCAGTTTCTTCATCAGAACTGGGATCCCACTCAGAGTGACTGTGCTGGAGACATAGCAAGCTCCAAGCACAGAACTTGGCAAATGTATGCTCCTGTATATAGAAGACATCGTTATTCCTTTCCCATATATTCTTCTTTCCAATTTCTTACTTATAAAAACATACTCCACTCTATAATTCTATAATCATCTTTAATTTAATATAATAATATTTACAGGACTCTGGTTATAAAAACAACCTCAAAGAATTAAGTCTAGATAATCATTTAAACAAAACATTAATACCAACATTGTTTGTTATGCATTCATCATGGGTTTTCCGAACATTAACTGTATGCAAGGCACTGTGCCAACCTCAGAGAACACAAAGGGCAAAGAGAAAATGCCCCATGCCCCAGCTCCTGTGTGCTCAGAGCTCTCACCCTTACACATATACACACGTAAGGGTGTATGTAACATGTCAGCTCTTTTTCCACTTTCAATATCAATTCTTCTTACCTATTTATTTCAAACATTCGCATCTATCTCTCGACCAACAGACATCATTATCACCCTCAAAAAATTCTAGCAATAATAAAATCAAAATTATTTTGAAATAGAGATCTATATCTTGTATCTAACACATATTTTCCCCTCTACATTTTAGCATTGACTAAGTTGGAAGAAAGGAGCAAAGAAAGGAGGAGAGTCATCCTTAACATGGATTTAGAAGACCTACCTGCCTTGCCCAGTACTACCACATTATCCTATGGAGCTTGTAAAGACATGGGGCATGACCTTGACAGCACTATCTCCTACTTTGCTTCTGTTGATCTTAATTCCACTGTGCCTTAGCCACTGTAATTGATCAGGCTCCACTCTGCACTCCTTGCCTTTTTACTCAACTACCCACAGGATCACCATCTGTTTCCTAACACAGATACTCTGTCAAAGGGAATTATAGAAAGAACAAAACAATGTGGCATACTAATAGCAATAAGAAAAATTCTTAAACCCTAGCAATAACTGACTTCTGAAAAGCACATTTTTCACCTCCATTGATACAATTATTTTCACAACAGGTATTTTATGCTGAAGTAAAAATAAAATCAACATCCATTTTATGGATGAGAAAACATCACAAGAGATTAAGAGACTTGGTCAGGGTCACACAGAAGCAGAGCTATATTTCAAGTCCTATACTTTAAATGTTGTTAGCTGACTTTTTTCCCCTTACTGTATAATCCTTTTCATCTCACCTTTTGAAACATTGGCACAGAGGACCCTTATTTTCTTAGAAATAAACTTTATATTGATAATAATGAGACAGACTGAGATAGAAATGTGAAACTGACCTAACCTGCAGGTGGAATCTCATATTTCATGACTAAGGCATCTGCTTAGAGCTTGAAATTTCTCATATGCCCATAAGTCAGGAGATGCAGTAGAAGTACAAAAGATATCATTCTATTAGGAAAATTAATAATTCCCTTATCTGTGAAATGGGAATAGTACTATCTAGCATAGGATCCTTGTGAAGTTTAACTACAACAGCACAGGGAGTGTCCTTCATAGCACGCCTAGCATACAGTAAGCTCTACATTATTTAGACTAAATCATCTATATTATTCAGACTAAATTACAAATGATTTATGATTTAGGGCGGGCCTGTCCATTGCTTGTTTTTTAATTAAACTGCGCTTCAAATAGGCCTTTCTATTTATCAAATATAAACTTTAAAAAATTATTTAGAGTACCTTGGTTTAATTTTTGGTTTTACTTTTTACCTCTAAAAGATTGTCAACCATATCTTATAAATCTAGGAAACATGAAATTTCAAATTTTTCCTCAAACAGTGATCTTTTCCAGACTATGCTTGAATCTATTTGGTTTAAATGAAAATTACAGGAATAGAAAAAATGTTAGAAGTATATTTTAACATAGAATGAACAGACCAATTCACAAAGCCAGAGCAAAGGCACATTAGGAGACAACAGCAGAAGTAAAATAAGAATTTCTGGCAAAAAATATAAAAATGAAAATTTGGAAAGAGAATCAGTCATTACAATATGTGCTGCTGTTGATCAAGAATGACTTATGTAAGCATATGGTTTATTACTCTTAACGCAGAAATGTAAAAAAGAAAAAAATTCAAAGCGGCCAGAGAAAGTCTCTTCCCGGCTGTGTGGTCTTGCCAATTTACTTCACTGGTCTGGATCTCAGTGCTCGTTTCTGATAACGGGGGAGAGGGAAGGTTTTAATAGATCATTCTGAACACCGCCAGGTTTCTCTGATAAGTTAGGATAGAACAGGCTGCTCCCCAGTGCTAGGGGAATACACTTCGGTGAGATTTGCTGCTGATGACCAGACACGGAGAGTCACAGTGGCTTCAGTGTGACTCACATGGCCATTTCCATTAGCTGCGGACAAACGGTCCAAACTTTGGCCTTTAAATGGTTTAATCATTAACGCCCCTTCACTGGTCACTGAGACGAGTCTCCTCTGGAAACATCCAACGATATATACGGGCGTTTTGCAATTTTTTCCTTTTGAAGATTATTATGGATGGGGGCCACAGGGTGAATTAAACTACACATTTCCCTGCAAAAGTAAGACTGCAACCCTGACGGCAAAGCTGCAGGAAGGCCGGGCGGACAGCGCCGGGAAACCCGCAGTTGCCCACGGCTGGGCTGCGGGCAGGGGCCCTCGCAGGCCCGCGTGCGCTGCTGCAGGGATGGCCAGGCCCCGGCCGCAAGGGAAAATCAGGCGGGGTGGCGGGCGAGGGGCTGCTGGCGGGGAGCCGCGGTGTGACAGCCGAAACGCAGACCCTACTGGAAACCACGGCTGGGAGCCCGAGACCAGCAGGTCAAACTCCCCAGGTGATGTACTCCTAGGAACTTACAGCCCCAATAGGGGAATGGCTTCGGCCTCGAACTCCGTAGGCACCGGTTCTCGGGGAGGACAGAGGTCACCGAGACCAGCAGGTCAAACTCCCCAGGTGATGTACTCCTAGGAACTTACAGCCCCTATAGGGGAATGGCTTCGGCCTCGAACTCCGTAGGCACCGGTTCTCGGGGAGGACAGAGGTCAGGAGAGGAGCGCAGCCCAAATCAAGCTCGGTTCCATTTGGACCGGCGGCGGGGAGATTCGCTGTCTGAACTAAGGAGACTTTTTAAAACCACTTACCCGGCTCTAGAGTGGAATCAGAGTCTGCGAGGGCTCCCTCAGATTCCACACGAGGAGGAGGTAGGCCCACCTGTCGCCAACTTTTACAGGCTCCGCCTCGCCCCAGTGTCTCTCCCCGCCCTCAGGAGGGCGAACGAGAATCTCTGGAGTTCGAAAGTAGAGGAAGTTTGGGCCTCCTCGGCTACCGCTCGCTTCAATATGGCCGCCCCCCGAGGAGAGGCGAGGCTAACGGGAATGTGGAGAGGGCAGCCTCTCTCTCACGCATGGATCGCAGCGCGGAGTTCGCGAGGTGGAAGGCGCAGTGTTTGAGCAAAGTGGACCTCAGCCGGAAGGGCAGTGTGGACGAGGATGTGGTAGAGCTTGTGCAGCTCCTGAATGCGCGAGAACAATTTTTCACCACCAGCTCCTGCGCAGGCCGTATCCTCCTCCTAGACGGGGTGAGGTCCCTTTGTGCCCTTCCAGCACTGCCCTCTAGTGAGCAACTTTAGGAGCCCTGTGCCCACTCAGTGCAACACCCAATTAGGCCTGTGTGCGTGTATCCCTCTGGTGGGTGGTCTTTATAGGTGAAACTTAGAGGGTGAATTAGGTGTTTCTAAAACCTTAAGTATCTAATAATCATCTGGGGATCTTTTAACGTGCATTGATTCTGTAGGTCCAGGGTTGGGCTTGATATTGTGCATTTCTAACAAGTCCTCAGGTGATGACGAAACTGCTGGCCTGATAACTATCTTGACTGGCAAGAGTTAGAGAACTTGATTTTCTGAATGCTAAAGGAATTTAAACACTTCCTTGCCTGGCGAGGTATTGAATGCTGCTCTTCAACCGCTTGCCAAATCTTTATCGCTGCTCTTGATTGAACGTCATCAGTGTTTAGGAGTTCACTGCCTCCTAGTGGCCCACTCTAACAGACATCATTATCACCCTCAAAAAATTCTAGCAATAATAAAATCAAAATTATTTTGAAATAGAGATCTATATCTTGTATCTAACACATATTTTCCCCTCTACATTTTAGCATTGACTAAGTTGGAAGAAAGGAGCAAAGAAAGGAGGAGAGTCATCCTTAACATGGATTTAGAAGACCTACCTGCCTTGCCCAGTACTACCACATTATCCTATGGAGCTTGTAAAGACATGGGGCATGACCTTGACAGCACTATCTCCTACTTTGCTTCTGTTGATCTTAATTCCACTGTGCCTTAGCCACTGTAATTGATCAGGCTCCACTCTGCACTCCTTGCCTTTTTACTCAACTACCCACAGGATCACCATCTGTTTCCTAACACAGATACTCTGTCAAAGGGAATTATAGAAAGAACGTATTAAATTTAGTGCGTGGAAGACAACACATTTATAGGCTCATTCTTTAGGTCTATCATTGATCATTCACTGGTCTCCCAGGTTAGCAGAGCCTGTTCATTTTTATATTGCTTCCATTCCCTCCTGTGCACTGGCACTCTTGCCCACACACTCTCTCTTCCCCCATTTCCAC